CCACTCCGAGCTGGGTCTGATGATGGATTTGGTGCACTCGGAGTGGAAGGTGACATCCTTTAGTGAAAAGTTTCGACGTGAGTACATGGCGGGGGCTAAGTGCAACTGGGCGCGGTGCTACAAGGCGACATCGGACCACTTTGCGTCTGCCACACTAGCCAAGTTTTCCATCCCCTTGCCGCCACGTTTACGAAGTTTCTCAGCTATCTCAATGTCTGTAATGTTTGGCTTCAATCGTTTCAACCATTGAGTTGCACATTTGTCAGCCTCCGCGACATGCAGTGGATTGTCTGGTTTTATTGTTTTAGGTAGCGAGAGGATGTGATTCTTAAATTCGTTGTTGATACATATACAGTCTATTAAGCCACACATACATGGTAGCATATAAATCTTTTGTTTCTTCTTGGCCGGTTGTGGCCTCACCCTGCGTGGAGTTGATGAATCCTTCGCTACGATACGTCATGTGTCAATTATCGCTCAAGTCTTTATGAAAGCAAATAACCCGTTCCTCAGGGGTATCGCACGGACAGTCGTAACACTGTGTTGTCGGATTCTCATTAAGACAGCACCCCTCACAGTGCTTCAGTTTAAGGTCGTCCTCAGTATCACTAGCGTCGTGATAGTCTCAGCAATCGTTGTGCCACTTCTCCTTACAGTGTCTGCAATGTATCCAGTCTGCTTTATCAACCCATCCATCTATTACATAAACTACAAGGTGTGATATCACTAGTCTCTGTTGTAGGCGGTTCTGATGAGTCCATCTCCAAGTGAAGTGTGCATGAGTACCGAATTATGCATATCATACGCTTTTAATATATAAGGATAGATAAGGATTACAGTATAGATTTAGTAGGACATCCACGTATTCTATGAGTCTTCAAAGATGAGTCATCTATTTTTATTATTTTGAGCTAATTTACAAGTTATTAACTACCCTCTTTGAAAAAAAACGCTTTCAGTCCCTGCGGCGTCCCAGCCGAGTTTTATTTAAAAAATGTTCAATTTATATAAATAGGATTTTATGGGATTTTAGTCGGCTATGTAATGATGCAAAACAACCCGCCAGAATAGCGCGCGTTTTTTACTATATCCAATCAACTGGTTTTTTAATCACAAACTATTTTATATACTGTTCTATATCGACTACAGAGGTATATACTTGATATGTAAAAATCTTGTGTAAATACTATATATATATACTAATCTAGTACATGTGCATTACCACATGTATTAAATGCACATTCTACTAGATATCCTAACGAATGCTATCCTGCACTTTGATCACATCGTGGTTAGCGCAGCATTACTTTAGTCACATATGTATACTCCGCTACCCTAAATTCAAGTAGCATCGTTCCAGCATCATAATACCATGTCGAAGAAAAACACTGCTACTGCACCTGAGGCAAACGCGCCAGCTTCTCAATGGATGATCCTAGCAGGTATCATTGCATTGCAAATATATATTATACGCACAAATCAAAAGGAAAAACCACACCGAAACTGTTTCTCTCGTAATGGGCCTCTGGGAGAGAAAAATATAGGGCGCCCTTTATTGTTTTTGTGAACTTAGTCTAAAAATGCATCTTTATATAATAGAGTATACATCCATATTCGTATTATGTATCAGAATTTATGGATATACATACAAATATACATAAAAATTTCCATGCATACATACATACATACATACATACGTATACATATATATATATATATATATATGCACACACAAACACACACACACAAATATAATTAGATATATATATATATACATATATATATGATACATGTATACATACATGAGTA